GATAGATAGATAGATAGATAGATAGATAGATAGATAGATAGATAGATAGATAGATTTTGTGTGCTTATGGGGGACAATCTGAACATACGTGCACACCAGTACGCCAAATCATATCCCCCCTTCCCCCTTCCCCTACCTGCCCCGGCCTCACTCACTGACCGTTATACAGAAGCTTCTGTTTATCCGGTGGCACCCCCGTTTGGCACTGTACTTCCTTGGACAGGTCAGCCGTGGTCAACCCAGCCTCATTCTTTAACTGCATCTTAAACAACCGGCGTCCGAACACCCCTCGAAGGGTCAGGGCTGGGAACTGAATAACTGGCTTTCTCTCTCTTATATAACCTTTCATGGTGCTCAGTTATTAATAAAGACTGTAAAGCGTGTATCGAGATTGCTGATGACTGGGAATTTGCGCTATTCAAATGCTACGTGCTTGCTACGTGCGTGAGTACGTACGATGATCAATACTGTTATTTATGATTATTATAGGATTCTTGATTGTAGTCTAAGACGACAGTGGTGGCACTGGCAGTATTGACAGTACTCCGCAGCGCGTGTGGCTAAAGAAAATATTATAGATCTAGACGTCTAGATTCTTGATCTAGATCTAGATCTAGATCTAGGCCTAGAAATGTAGATGATCTAGACTGTATTATTATAACAATGGTCGTCCATTAAGCCCTCAAAAAATCGTTGTAGCAAAGGGTGTTTCTGTGCTGTAGTAGGTATGTTCACAACAAGATGTTGCAGGTTCTGTGTGGTGGAAGATGATGTTGCGTCCTTGGCAAAGACCTTGGTCCAAAACCTTTATAATTTATAGCCGGGAATTGTAGGCTAACCGCGACGAAGACTTCCGTTTAATTTCGTAACTAGAACGGAAGTTGAGCAACTTGTGGGAGGGTGAAAAATACACGAAGTTTTCATGGGAATTTCCAAATATTTTTTGTGTAAAACTTACGAACTCTCTGTCTCTCTGTCTTTTCCCCCCTTCTCTCTCTCTCTCTCTCTCTCTCTCTCTCTC